CCACAAAGGGATGGTGAGAGTTTCCAAAGTCATTTCCAGTTCCATCATTCTATGAGTCTTGACTTCAAGACTCTCAAATATCAAGTGTATCCAGAATGTACTAATGCAGCAACAGTAATTGACTACCTACTCTTTACAAGCCCTGATGGAGAGCACTGGGGGGATTACTCAGACATGGGAAAACATCCTTGCCTGATCCTGCAAGAGCTCCTATACATCAGTCGAGGCCAGTAACACCTGAAAAGTGCCATCAGTGCAGAATTCAGAACTACAATCAGCATCATGTGACTATTCGTTAAATGATAAGGTTGCATGATTAGATCAATGAAGCTCTCAAAGACTCAGGAAATAATTGAGTGGTTGGCATCCTGGTGCAGTGCATTAAGCCACTGCCTGCAGCACAGGCATTGCATGTGGGTGCCAGTTCGAATTCCAGTTGTTCCATTTGCACCTACTAAATGTGCCTGGGAAAAAGTAGTGGAAGAAAGCCCAAGTGTTTGGGCTCCTGCCACCCACATGGGGAATGTAGAAAGTTCCTGGCTCCTTGGCTTCAACCTAGCCCAGGCCTATCAGATCAAGCCATTTGGGAAATGAACCAGCAGATGGAAAATTCTCTCTCTCTCTCTCTCTCTCTGTGTGTGTGTGTGTGTGTGTGCACGCGCGTGTGTTCCCCCCTCTTTGTAACTCCACTTTTCAAATAAACAAATACATCTTGAAAAAATTGAAAACTCATTGAAAAGGAGGTAGAATTTGAACAGGCTAGGAGAGGTAGAACAATTCCTAAGAGATATTACAAAGCTTCACTCGCTTCATCCAGTTCAATGACTCCATTGGCAATAACGCACACCAAAAGCACCTATGGGAACCAATCCAACAGAAACCCATCTGGATGGTAGCTGGGTGTAATTTCCTTCATATATGGTCTTAAAATATAGCAGGCTACTTCTACTTCAAGGGTCAAGAGTCGCACAGTAATCCTCACCATAAGAGCAGCCTGAGTATCTTGCTCCCACTGGAGGGATCTGGTTGCAAAATTAAACAGAAAGCTAGGAAGCCAATTCCAGGCGACAATGTGCACTGGGGCCTTTCCCCAAGGCCACACTGAATCAGCAAGTTGAATGGGATTAAACAACAGCCTTTCAGGAGCTGGACAGTTCACAGGTTGTCAGTGTCAGTCGGCTCTAGTGTCCTAACATCCCAGGCCAAAGTGGCAGCTGTGCAGCCAGCATACAAGCCAAATAGGGTTTGAGCCCAAACAGCTGAAACCTGTACATGTGTACAAAGGTGAAACTGGCAAACACACTCATGTTTCCTAAATCCAATTAACTCGCCCTCCAAATTAATTAGGAACTCTTTGTTTTTCCTTTAAACATTATACAATCTTCACCCTGCTTTTAAATGGAAATACATTTACTATGAATACAAAATGCAGCTATCTGCTGGTAATCGATACTCTCCTTTTGTGGTGTATTTGAATCTTGTAAACATTCAGAGTTATACAGAATTTCAGCCTCTCGGAGTTGCAAGGGGCTTACTGACGATCTAGCCTGATCACCCTGTCTAATCTATCACAGTAGCCCTAAGAGATAGCTACCCAGATTCTCCACAAACACTTAAAAAAAACTTGGGGGAGGGGAGGTCTGGCACAGAAGAATAGCATGCTGATCCTTTGCCCTGCAGGAGTGGCATCTCATGTGGGTACCAGTCTGTGTCTCAACTGCCCTACTTCTGATCCAGCTCCCTGCTTACGGCCTGAGAAAGCAACAGAGGATGGCTCAAGTCTTTGGGCTCCTGCACCCATGTGGAAGACCTAAAAATACCTCCTGACTCCTAGCTTTGGATTAGTTCAGCTCTGGCCATTACTGCCATTTGAGGAGTGAACCAGTGGATGGAGGACCTTTTCGTCTCTCTTTCTCTCTGTAAAATCTGCATTTCGAATAAAAGTAAATAAATCTTAAAAAAAAAAAACAACCAAGAAAAGGGTCATCTATGAGCGGTCCAGTGCCAAATTCATAACAAACATGCTCTGCATGACGGGCAAAGGAGGAAGCCTACTTGCTGATCATACCCAGTTCCCCAGGACAAAGAAGACTCCCATCCCCAGGCATGGCCCAGGGTGGGGTGTGGATGGAGGTTGCTTCGTACACCTTCACAAACACTTCAAGGAGTACAGAGCTCAGTGCCCTCCCTCTCAGGTGGGCAACCTTTTGTATCACACAAGGTCAATCAAATGTCTATCCACAGATAGTGAAAGGGCCCTGCCATGCAAAGTCGAGGTCTGGAAAACCTCAGACTGAAAGGCTAGCCACCCGCACCACCAACACCATATGGTTTTCATTAAGTGACAGCCATGTGTCTGACTGGACTTCTCAGGACATCTGGCTGACCCAGAGTTGTGCCACGGGTGCCTATAAATCAACTTACACTTGTTCCTAAGCACCTGCTGCAAGCAGATCCAGAGCCAGATGTGACTCAAAGTTCGCACTGTCTTCCCACAAGAAAAAAAAAAAAAAAAAAAAAAAGCAGCAGCCAGAGAACATAGAGCCTACACTCCTAGACAACTGGAGGATGAAAACGGACAGCTGTCTGCCTAGTCCAACACCCTCTCCCAAGCCAAGACAGAGTGAGGCCAGTTGATCTCCTGGGGTCTGACTGAGTTCTAACACTAACAAAAGAGCTCATATCCTGCCCCACACCCCCACAAATCCTACCCACCACTATATGGCTGGTAGTAAAATATAGACTCTGAAGAAGGAGGTCAATTAAGAAAAAATTCCTCCGAGGAATGCCAATGTGCCTTTCAGTGTGGCACTGGCTAAGCTAGGGCAACCAACCATCACCTGCAACACCTGTACTTGACAGACACATGCATACACACATATACGCTCAGGCACATCAACAAATACAACCCACAAGTCACAGTAAAAAAAGCCTCATCACTTGGGGACCTCTCCTCTTCGGCCAGATTTATACTTCCCCATTCCATTCCTCAGTTAATACTATTTGCTTCCTTTTCGTCTCCTCCCATCATCCATTCCCCAGGTCCTACCCTCAAATATATTTACTCTTTCATGCAGACAGCTGGAGCCCAGGGCAGTTTTACAGGCAACCGTGCCCTTCGTATTGGTGGATAAAACACAATAAAAAATTTGGTGGTTGGGGTGGCTGGGGGCAGGGGGATGTCATTGAAGGGGGAAAAAAAAAAACCCTCAGTGTCTGTCAAGGAGTAACTTGGCTAATTATGGGCAATCTTCTACAGAGGCCTCCATGTAACAGATCCAAATCAGAGACTCTGTCACCGACTCCCAGATACAAAAAGGGCTAAACGGTAATAGCTCCCAGTTCCAAGTTCCCTTGGCCAGCCAAAGCAGAGGTTTTGGGCCCAGAAAGATTGGCTCCCTCAAAGCCTGGAAACAAATCTTATCTCTGTTTTTGAATGGTTCTAAATCATAATCATGTCACCAGAGAAAGGAACAGGGACAAAAAGATCAAGAGAGAAGGAAGAAGGATAGAGAACACAGTGCATTTTGTACTTCCAAAAAGAAAACAAGACAGAAATTAGGCAGAAACACACACACACACACATACACTTGCAGAGAAAGAAGGCTGCAAAAAAGAAAAAAAAAATGTTATGCACATGCTTGTCTGACTTCACATGCTCACTGGTACCACACAGGAGCACAAGTGCATACACACACACAGCCATGAAATGGACTGAAAGCAGCTAAGAAGCCTTTAGCAGCCAGCCCAACTTCAACAAACGCTTGACAAAGTCAGCAGCAGCAGCAGCTAAGAGCGTTAAACAAAGAGCTTCTCTGACCTTACTTTTCCAGCCCTCCTCTAAACCGGGCTCCCTTCTCCCACTGGTATTACTCAAGCCAGCTGCAACCATCAAAAAGTCTGGCAAAGCAGCCCAAAAATCACTCTGGATGCACCGCAAAAGCCTGAAGCCCTTATAGAGGGAAAAAAAAAAATCCCCAAAGGTAGCAGTGTTCATTTTAATTAGCCATAAAAGCAGGCCAAAGAGTCACCTCCTACTTCCCCAGGCCACACCCCAGAATGGAAGCTCCGTTTCAACCCCCCAGCCCCATACATAAACGCTGTAGCAGGCTTTCATCAATGCCATGTGCGGTCAACACGCACACCCCTCAACTCCTCTAGGCCCTCGTCACAGTAATCCCAAAACAATTAGCACTGCTGCCATCCCCAGAGTGCAGAGCCTTCTCAGCACACCCAAGAGTGGTGCCAAAGTGCCCTAGAATCCTACTAGCCACCTCCCTAGAGCAGTGGCCTACACACACTTCAAACAGTCACGCTAGTACTAGGCAGTATGACATCACAGAACAAAATAACTTCAAGGATGGGATCAAGAGTTGTTTATGCTGAATAACTGCAAGGGGGAAAAAAAGAGCAACTTGCTTTTTAATAAGCACACACGTGCCACACAGCCAGCTACTGTGTGACACAGTGGCTACCCATCTGTGGGGTCTCCTCGTAGTTAGCTTGTCAACGTCAGAGCCAGGTGAGGGCTGAGCCCTAACGGAATAGGACTCAAGATAAGAGTTGGTGAGTGCTGCTGGGTGGCGAGAGGTGTCCCGAGGCGTAAGAGGGATACAGAGGAGGCCTTTGGCACCATGCTCCTAAGAAGACTGAACAGAAGGAGGGAATAATAATTACGATAACCTCCTCTTATTTCCCTTTCCAAGAGGTAGTCCCGCATCAGTGCCACAAAACTGGCATGGAAGGATGGAAGTTCTTGTCATGGTTTTTTGTTTGTTTTATTTTGTTTGCTCATTTAAGGAAGAACATACTCTGCTATAATCACAAAGCAGCGAATTCAGCTGATGTGATCTAAAGACATTACTCAAGAAAACACTAGAAGTCATCCAAGAACTAGGACTAGCCACAAATTCCAGGAAGCCTCCGACCCACCGCCCCCATCCACCCCTGGCAAATCCAAAGTAAATACAGTCAAGTGATTTTACTCAATGAAAACTCACTCAAAGGCGAAGAAGAGTGTACATGTCCCCAGGATGAGGAAGAGGGTCAAGTAGAAGATGCCCTTTTGCCGTGCCATCATGACCCGGCCATCACAGCAGAAAGTGTTCCTGCCAGGGAGCTTCTCCCACTTCCGGGTCACTTTCTTTCTCACCACCATCACCGACATGATTGGGATCCCCAGTCCAGGAGGGGCTGTATAATCACACAAGGAAACAGACAGAGGCTGCGCCCAGCTTGGAAATCCTGTGGGTGGCAATTGCTGCTGCTTGAGCTGCTCGGTCAAGCATCATCAGACGTCCAGTTGCTACTCCTAAGAAAAAGCACAAGAAAGAAAGACAAAATAAGAAAATACACTTCCATCCTCTTCCCCTGGAGGCAGAAAGATGAAGATGTGGGAGAATTTCACTTCCAATGTGCTCGTCCTCTGGAAGGAGGAGTCATCAAAGCCTTTCCTAAAACAACAGGGCAGGGGGGATTCCTGTTAAGTAAACCTTTATGCTTCCAATCAAATACTGATGAACTGACAATCAAGGAGCCTTGGAACTCACAGATCTCCGTAGGGGGCAGCCCAATTATTTTGTCTGGGAAATCAATAAACAGAGAACCAGAGAGAGGAAGGAACTTAACCAGGGTCACACAGCAGCACAGCTGAGGCAAGAAAGCATGTCAGCTACTAACTGCATGTCCAGGGTGCTTGCTGCCAAAGAGGAACCTTCTCCAATCTTCTTTACCAGGACTGTGCTGATAACAGTAGCATTTCTGTCCTGAAGGAACCATTCCCTCCCCCTCCTGCACTTCTTCACCTTGCCACTCAAATATGAATCACACACCAGGGAACGAGCCAGCCTCTGGCCAGGCCGGGAGGTTCTGAACACTCTGTACACACACACAGGCTCCCTCACACGCACACACACACACACACACACACATTATATTTACACAAAACCGAGTTCTCCCAATGAAACCCTCAGTAACTTCCTGAGTCCAGGAAATGAAACAATTGGGCTGCTCTAACCTTTGTGGGAATCTTAATGAAACCACATCACACAGCCGAAGGTGAAAGGCTGACTTAAGCAGAGATCGTGGAATCATTGGCGTTTCATGAAGGGTATTGAGGGGGAGACTAGGGGCAGGGGAGGAGATGACAGCAGCTGAGTTCAGGGCTACTTCCTGGGACACGTCCTAAGTGCCATCTCTGCTCAGCATCCCGAATTCCCAGGCCTAGCCTTTCTCAGTCCCCGCCAGCCTCCTGCTGCCAGGGGCGGTGCAATGTGGCCTCTATTTACTGATACCACATGCCCCACGCTGGCAAGACCAAGGCGGAAGCCTGCGGCCCGACTGACGAGCGAGAAAACAACCAACTGGAGATTATTCCCCGGGTTGGAGAGGGCAAGGATCCAAGGAGCAATCGAGAACCGAGCCGGAGAAAGGAGAAGGAAGAAGACTTGGAGAAAGGGGAGGGGGTCCCAGGGGTGCAGAGGGACACTTCCTTTGTGTAAAACTAACCTGCCAAAACAATCTCCTTGTGATCCACTGGCCCAGCAGGAGAAAGGGCGACCAGGAAGGGGAACCCGACCACGGAGAACAAAGATCAAAATCCGCCGGGAAACCAGCAATCGGTCCACCAGTCCGGACTGCCCCCACCCCTTCCCAAGCCTCCCCGCCCAGGCCCCAGTCCCGGCCGGGCCGCAGGAGCCGCCTTGGGAGGCCTGCCCTCGCCTCCACCACGCCGAGGACCACCGCCCCAGGCAGTTTGGGACGCGCGCCCGTCCACACGCACACGCATCCACACGCTCGTACACACTCACACCCCGCCACGTGTAGTCACCCCGGGCCAGGGGCTTGGCGGCTGGCCGAGTTGAGAAGGGCGGTGCCTGCGTGTCTGCGTCCCAGCGCCGCCGCCGCCAGCAAAGGGGAGGCAAACCCCTCAGGCAGCTGAGCCCGGGAGCCTCCCACCTCCACCCCGCTTTACCTGAACCCAGGAGACCGAACTCCGGCCGGCAGCAGAGGACAGTGAGGGAGCAGCCCCAGGGGACCGTGTCCGCCGCCCCAAGGTGGCAGCGACTTCTCCCCAATCCGGGAGACTGCCTCCTCCTGACAAGGGGCCCCTACAGGAGGGCCCCTGAACCAGCTGTGGCAACCGCCCACCGCTGGCCGAATGGAACGCTCCTCACGTCACCAGGTCGCTCCAGTAGTGGCTCGCATCCTATTGGCTGTTCAGCCTCAGCGCCTCCGCCCCTACCGCCCCTACCCCGAGCTTCCATTGGCAACTCAGAACGCCACTCCACGCTGCCTCCGCCCACTCCCCCACCCAGCTCTCTGCTACTTGCCCACCTGCCAAGTCACTACCAGCTTCTCTTTGGGGTCCTAGTAGGCAGTATGCGAAGTGTTACCTTCTAGTGATATAGTTCGGCAGCGATGGAGAGGGAGGGTGGTGCTGGTGGGACAAGGATTAGCGGGGACCAGCCCCCTCCCTGTCCGAGACCCACTGCCTCTGTCTCTGTCTCTGTCTCTGTCTCTCTCTCTCTCTCTCACACACACACACACTCGGGAAGATGCTGAAGCCACGCTAGCTCAAGATCCGGGTGCTCACTGCAAACCGGGTCCGCCCTGTGCTTCTCCAGCCCTCTTACATTCAAATCTACCGGAACTCCGATGTTACTCGTGAGCCGCAAGAAGGTACACCCTGTACCTCCCAAGTCCCGGGCGGCAGCCAAGGACCTCCTCAACCACCACCACTGTCTCCCTCACTCTGGCCTGCATCTCTAAGGCTTTCAGAACAAAACAAACAGAAACGGGAAGTTGAAAGGGTAACTGTTCCCGCGAACAGTTTTGCAGCCGCAGAAACGAGTAATTGATCTTGGATGAGAGCACAAGGAGCGCCAATCCTTCCAGGTAGCTAATGAAGTAAAGATTGCCAAGAAGGTTGGCAATCTATATTGGATTTGGAGAGCTTATGATAATTAAGCAGAGGAATCCACTACAGAATTTCCAGTCACCAACCAGCTTAATTCCTTCCTTCTGCCACTCTTCTGCAGTCACTGCTGTCTTGAGCCATTGCTAGTGACCCAAGAGAGCTTCAACCGTGAAAAGGCTGAGACTGGAATGGCGAAAATGGTGGAGGACCGCATTATTCTACTGTAGGGTGAACTTTATAAAGCATCCTGTTTCCACGGGTGTGGCTAGTGGAAATTAAAAAAAAAAAAAAAAAAAAAGACGGGACGTGGCCTCTGTTGAGAATGAGTGGCTATCTCACCTGCCTGAGCTTGCCTCAAGTTTGTTCAGATTGAGGCTGTTTTGTTGGTTGAAGGGCCAGCTGTTACAAGGTCAAGGGCTTTTTCCCCCTTCCAATGTTAAGGTCCCATATGAAATGAAACTGAAATCTACACCATTTCACGATAGTCTACATTTGACACTTTCATAGCACCCTTCCATAAAAAAAAATTTAAAGGATTAAAAAATAACTAGGTAATTCCCTTATGAGACAGAAGCATTATAATTAATTTGTAGAGGAAAGTATATCTTTACAACCCTTCTATTATTCCTTATTCTAACCGTCAGTTTATTCCTTACGAAGTGTATGACAAGCTGCATTGCCTCCAGGGGTGTTCTTTGATTGTGTAAGGTGCTGGTAATATGGAAGGAAGAGGTGGACTTCTTTGGCCACACCAGCTCTCTGAATTCCCAAGCCTGGGTGTGTATCAGATGCCCTTAAGATGAGCATGGTTACCTCAGCTGCCATCCTTCTGACTATGGAGAAGTCACAGGTAGGTCTCCGTAGCACTCAAACATACTTTGCCCAGAGCTCAGAAGCAGGTGGAGCCTGTGGAGTCCTGGAATGAATGTGTCATAGCAACACATTCCTCGGGGTGGCCCCTCCCTGCTTTGGGTCACATTTCCCCTGGGATTAAGTGGCTATGTCAATCAGACTTCTAATTACAATTTATTATTAGTCGTGCTCCCCACTAAGAAAAAAAAAATCAGGAAAAATTTATAGGGGATGATAATCCATTGCACTTCCTTTTAGGTAATTACTTTCTTTTATGTAATCCTTAAAATCTCAATGCAAACATAACTAATGACTATAGACAGATTCCTCCCACCCCCATTCTCTTCTCTTTCTTCCACTTTGTGAATCCAAATTGGTATTGAATCTTTGGGGCTACTTTTTATTGTTTTTAAAGATTTGTTTTGCTTATTTGTGAGTGTGTGAGTGTGTGTGTGTGTGTGTGTGTGTGTCAGAGAGAGAGAGAGAGAACAAGAGAGAGAGTTTCCATCTGTGAGTTCAATGGCCTGTGGTGCTATATAGGCCAGGCCAAAGCTAGATGCCTAGAACTTATCCATCCTGGTCTCCCACATGGAAGTTACAAGCCCAAGTACCTGTGCCATCTTCTGCCACTTTCCAAAGGACCATTATCAGGGAATTGGATCAAAAGTGGGGCAACCAGTACTCATATTGTTGCTCATATGGAACGCTGGCCACAACACCAGCTCCATTGTTGATTCTCTTCAAGGGGAGTAACAGGCAGTGATGCTCTCTCAAAACGTAATTAAGATGTAGTCTTCCAGGGGGTTGGCATGGTGGTACAGAGGGTAAAGCCACCACCTGTTACACTGGCATCCCATGTAGACATAGGTTCATGTCCCAGCTGCTCCACTTTTGATCCAGCTCCCTGTTAATGACCTGAGAAAAACAGAAGAAGACAGCCCATATGCTCAGACCCCTGCCAGCCAGGTAGAAGACCTGGAAGAAGCTCCTGGTTCCTGAGTGAGGCAAGCACAGCCCTGCCATATGCCTCTTTGTGCCTGTCTTCTCTCTGCAACTCTGATTCAAAATAAATAAATCAATCTTTACTATATATAACACAAATAGATCTTTTATATAAAGTTGATGCTGGTAACACCAGCATTCCATATAGATACTGATTGAAATCCCAATTGTACCACTTCTGATCCAGCTCCCTGCTAATGAGCCTAGGAAAGCAACAGACGATAGGCCAAATGTCTGGACCTCTGGCATCTATGTAGGAGATTCAGATGAAGTTACTTGCTACTGGTTTTAGAAAGGTTTAGCCCCAGTCATTGCAGCTATCTGGGTAATAAGCCAATAAAAGATTCTCTCTCTCTCGTTATGCCTTTGAAATGAATAAATACATAACTTTTAAACTGTCACTGCCAGGCTGGAGCTTGATCCAGCAGATCTTTTCTGCAGTCTCCCAAAGACCTATTTGGCACTGTATCCAAGAACTGACACACAAAGCATCAGCCTTCAACTCCACCTGCCCCAGTCCCCTTGTCCCACCCCTATGCAAATGTCCCTTCCTGCCCCACCTAGCTGACTTGCAGTCCTCTCCTTACTTTGCAGCTATAAATAAATGCAGTTTATATTTGTAGACTGAATGAGAAAAAAAATCACGCTGCCCTGCCCACACATAGCCAGCTAATATTGTTAAGCAATATTTGTTTCCCTAAGGCTTGGCCTGGTGTCACCAACATAGAAGAGGCAGGTTAGCATGTAACATGAAAAGCACATAAGCCTGATGTCCAGGCAGACCTAGGTTCAAATCCTGATGGTGCTATTTCATAGCTTGTATAACCTTATGTTTCCCCCTGATTAGAAGAAGCATGGAAAATAACCTTGCTTTAGTCAAGCACCTGTTTTGCAGCACCACCTTCTCCACCTTGCTGTTACGTTGTCTGTTTCAACAACAAGAGAGCAGTGGCTTTCATTAAGCACCTCCTGTGTTCCCAGCACTGGGCTGGCATTGGCCACTCACCTCAGAGAGTGCAAAGCACCTTTAAGATGTCTGTACATGAAAGTCAATCACATAGAACACACAATGAAACCACCTGCAGTGTCAGCAAAAGTGTGCCTCAAATGCTACTGAACTGCTCAAAACTGAGTTGCTCTTTCTCCCTCTGATATCTGTCTGCCACTGCTAGTTCCCAATTTGCTTTCATCTCTAAACTATGTCAGCACATGGCATGATTTTAGATGCCATGTGGAACCTTCAACATTCACCCTAAGACTAGCCTCTCATTAAACAAGAATTGTTAACAACAGCAATGGAGACCATTTATTGAGGATGTCTTCTGCAGGGATTGTGCTTGATGCTTTATACAAATTAGATTCCCAGGTCACAGTCTCAACATGATGTCCAAGTGAGAGCATCTGATCCTGATTTGGCACATACCTGGTATTTGACTCTGCCCAGTCCTCTCATTCCAGGAGCTGACATATGAGGCTATGTAGCTCCAAAACATAAGCTGGCTTATCAGTCAATCACTAAGTATGCATTGAACACCCACAGTATGCCCAGCCTGTGCTAGGCACTATGGGAAATACCAAAGAAGTATATGGCATGATCCCAGCTGCCAACAAACAAAAAACATTCCAGGGAAGAAAAGACTGGCATCTATGAAGTCTTCAAAGAAAAATACGAAACATTGCAGAGTCAAATTCAAAACAATGTGCAACAGTCTCATAACTAAGGATGGCTTGCCTCAACAGGTTGTGCCCATCAAATACTCTCAGTATAAGAGTAAATGGGGCCCGGTGCAATAGCATAGTGGTTAAGGTCCTCACCTTGCACACGCCAGGATCCCAAATGGTCGCCAGTTCTAATCCCAATGACCATGCTTCCCATCCAGCACCCTGCTTGTGGTCTGGGAAAGCAATGGAGGACGGCCCAAAGCCTTGGAACCCTGCACCCATGTGGGAGACCTGGAAGAGCTCCTGGCTTCTAGCTTCAGATTGGCGCAGCACCAGCCATTGCAGTCCCTTGGGGAGTGAATCATTGGACTGAAGATCTTCCTTTCTGTCTCTCCTCCTCTCTGTATATCTGCCTTTCCAATAAAAATAAATAAGTCTGGGCCCAGCGCAGTGGTGCAAGTGGTTAAGGTCCTCGCCTTGCACGCCCGGGATCCCATATGGGCTCCGGTTCTAATCCCGGCAGCCCCGCTTCCCTTCCAGCTCCCTGCCTGTGGCCCGGGAAAGCAGTCCAGGACGGCCCAAAGCTTTGGGAACCTACACCCGCGTGGGAGACCCAGAAGAGGCTCCTGGCTTCGGATCAGCATAGCATCAGCCGTTGCGCTCACTTAGGGAGTGAATCATCGGACGGAAGATCTTCCTCTCTGTCTCTGCTC